CCAACATCAATCAAAATGTCGACTTCCCTGGCAGCTCTCAACAGTAAGGCAGGTTCAAAGGTCACAGGATAAAGAAAAAGCCAAGCTCTGGTTCAGCTCTAATATCTCCTTGGTACAAGTCTTGCAGAAGCACCCCTTCTGCATTAGCCTGGCTTTCATTAATCTTCTTGCCACCTTCTTTAACTAGTCATGCAGAACCGTTCGATAGCAAGGCGTATAATGGGGAAGGCCCTGTGCCTATTACCGCGTTAACATTCTCTTAAGCCCAGTGCAACAATAGAACGAGAGGCAGAGGAGAGCTGGACGCAGGGTGAGGTTCAGGCAATTCAATCACAGCCTGGCTTACCTATGTACTCTGACCCACAAGACACAAGGGGCCTTTGTGTCTAACTGGCTTGGCCATTAAGGCTGCTCAAGATCACAACAAAGCTAATCTTTTCCATTTAAGCTAAATCAATGTGGACAAATCATTATTCAGTAGCTTTAATTTAATTAGTAAATTAAATACACTACTTTACAGATCTTGTCAAGTACTTATGAAAAGAAAGATTCATTTAAATGTGAGGTCACCAATAAGCCAGTTAATTTAGCTCCTGCTCTTAACTGAATCTTGTCTCCAATATCCAGGGAGTTCTAGTTACTAGAGTCGTGGCTGCAGCTAACTCCTAACCCTAGAGAGTTCCTATTTTTTGGTCCAAACAGTTTTGGACAAAAAGCAAAGCAAAGCAAAACACCTCCCACCAATATAAGCAAAGCACCAGGAGAATCAGATTTCCTTTAAATTATACTATTGCAAGGAACGTAATCAGGTTACCTCTATTCTGCTGTTTCCTAAAGATTGTATATTATCTCTACTTAATTGAGATACAGAGCGCTTTTCAGCTATAAAGATGACAGCTACTTTATTAAGGTTTAAATCTGATTTCTTAATGATGGCTGCTTCCTTTAAAGACCCGGAACCTGTGGAAGCTCCTCTGAATGAGGCCAGACCTGCCTTGATGGAACATCCACACACAGCCAGAGAGCCTTCCCTGTCACAGAAAGGTCCCTGGTTTTGTTCAGCACTAGCACTTCTTAAGAAGCTGACTACCCATAGCCTATGTCAAGCATGGATCTGCTAAGAGACATTAAAAATTCATTTTTTAAAAAAAAGAAGAAGATCTTTGTTGGAACCCTTCAAAATACCAAAAGAAACCCTAAGCAGAGGCAAGCCAGACTGAAGGAACCCTGATTTGAATAATAAAGGGAGGGCTTTTCTTCCCCTAAATTAAGAGAGAACTCATTCTTAATTGTTCAGGGCTCCCCCTTCAGATTTTCAGAATTCTTCTTATTTATCCACGCAGGTTTTTAAGGCTTGTATCTATTTAGTCATTGAGTTCCAGGTCTTTAAACACTCACAGGGACAGAGTGATAAATCTTCTCTCTAACGCTGGCCTAAGAGGGAGACGCCGGGTGCAGGAGTGCACCGAGCTGCGGCTGTGGCCTGGCCACACTGATCCCACAGTCTGTGGTTCCGTGTTTCACTGGTGCTAATGCTCAGCTCTGCCCAGTCAGCTATTCTCACACTTTGGAAGGCGGCATCAATTAAACCTGAGTTGTGTTTCCTATGACGACCGAATGAATGGTATGACAGCAGCTTTCTTCATAAGCCCTGCAAAATGGCCACATTCAAAGGGTTTAAAACATTTCTTTTCTGTTCAAAATCCTGACAAACATGTCTCAAGTAAGAACGTGGGGACAGCTTCATTATCCCCCCACACCTAATGCCTTTTGAGGAGCAGGCTGCTTAATAACACATCTGCTCTGTTTTCACAACTAAATTATTCCAGTTGGTCACACGTTCCAGTCTTTGGGAAGACACTTGTGTTATGAGAGATAAAAACATGAAAAAGAGAATATATTGCAGAAATCAAAAACCTTATCTACTTCTAGACTCTTTTCCTTTGCCATAATTCATTCAAGAAGCCCTAAGAATAATTTTTGATGTAAACTCAGCTACAAACATACATCACGATGCTGATAAAAATCACAGGCTAAACTTATGAAATATAGTGACTTTCATTTCTTTAGTGCTCCTAAAATAACTTTTTTTCTAAGGTTCAGCAGACATAGAAGATAAAAAGGGTTACCATTAATCCTTTAGGGAAAAAAACGCAAGACAGGAGCAAGAGAGAAAGCAGAAGGCCCTGGAGATTAACCCCGTGTCGGTGAGGCCCTGAGGAGGGGCTTTTGAGATCCAGGCTGAATTAATTTAGTGAAGATACTGGAAATCATAAAACCACACAGTGTCAATTTGATTCATTTACTAACATCCCAGTGTGGGCATTTTACACGAATAACAGGGGACAACTTTTGGTTCCTGAATCCTGTCTCATGCAGTTGACCAACACTCACTGCAGACAATGGCCAGGGCTGGCTGGACCACTCAGCTCAGTGGAGACTGAATGGGGGGTTGGGAAGACTCTAAGAAGATAATTTGACACACTTCATTGTCCAGAGGTCTACACAAATGTCTGAGGGAATGAATGGAAAGGAGTGGAAAGAAGGACAGAGGTGGCAATGGCTGTGAATTAGAGGTAGGGCCAGGCAGAAGCACAGAGCAGACTTTGTGAGTGTATCTCCCGGGCCAAGGTCTAGGTGGGGAACTCTGGCCTGAGAGGCCTGAGTGCTCGGCAGTGTTTAACGTCAGTGAAGGCTGTGCGGGGAGCCTGAACTTTATCTTGCGAGCCTATAATTTAAACTCTTAAAGACATACTGAGTCTATTTGTGTGCACCGTGTGAGTTTACGTGTGGATGGAGGACAGGAGACACTGTTAAATGTCCTCCAATAGTACTCTCTGCCTATCACTTTGAGGCAAGGCCTCTCCCTGAATCTGGGGCTCATGTTTTTCTCAGCTGGACTCCTCCCCTGCCTGGAGCAGGGGTTATGGGCATGCATGAAATGAAATGTTTTCTCTTCTTTTTATTGTTTAAAGCAAAACAAAAGCAACAAATTAAAAAAAAAAAAACCCAAAGTAAAGTTTTACCTGAGAACTTCTTAACTCTGGGGCTCCCAAATACCATCCTCACTCCCCAAAGCCCACAATGTGTCCTTTAGGTCCCTGTATGTGTAACTTCTGAGTTCAGAGACTATGGCTTGAAAAGCCCTGCTAGAGTACAGGGCAGGGGCTGTTCTCCTCAGTAACCGACAGTCAAGGACAACCCCTTCTCCCCCAAGGGCTCAGTGCCTGGCTTGCACACTGGGACCCTGGAGAGAAAGTCAACACAGAGAAGACGGCCCTGTCTGTTCTGTACTCTTAAGCTGAGCATGTGGCCGGGCCACGAACATAGATGCCCAGCAATTACTGTGACTGCCTGATGCCATCGGACAGTGGGAGGTGGGTGACTGTGACTGCCTGATGCTGTCAGATTGTGGGAGGTGGGTGACTGTGACTCTCCCTTCCTGGACAGCTGGGCGTGCCATATCTACACTTTTTCAGTGCCTGGGTTACAGCCTTCCTAGGCACAGCAGCAAGTGTCTGTCAATGAGAGAACCCAAATTCAGGTTTCAATCTTCCCCCCATCTGCCCACTTCAGGTGAGGCTCCTCTGCAATGCGTAGGTGACCACTTGCTATTTCTGAGACAAGTTACAAAACTTCTCTTCAGAATATCCTCAGTGCTTAGGAAGGAAGATGCCAGGACAAACACATCTTGTCTGGCCACAAGACAGAGTGGGTGGAGTCAGGGAGAGGTTCACTCATGGCAGAGGGGATATAGTAGCCTTCAGGCACCCAAATGCACCAAAAAATTGTCTCATGGGTTTCTTCTGGCAGGTGTCCTGTAGTCAGAGCTTCACAGGGGCAACAGAACAGCACCAGAGGCCAAGAATTGACCTCTCTCCTCTCTCTACCTGCCGAAGCCTTCCTTTCTTCTCTACCTGCCGAAGCCTTCCCTTCTTCCCAAACTGGAGGAGTGTTAAAGGAGCTTCTTCATAGCTGGATTTGACAATGAAGTTAACACTTGTCATAGGGGGTGTGTGGCATGTGCCTAGCTTATAAGTCTTGCTGCGGGGCTTGGCACTGCAAGGTGGCCTTTTAGTCATGACAACCTTGGAAATGAGCCACATATAAATGTTTCCTGGCCTTTATCTAGTGCTCCTTCTGATTATATGAATCCTCTGAATTTGTTCTCAAATCCATAGACACAGGAACATAGGCCCCCAAATTAGAGCCTCAGTATGTACCTCAAGTTACCAAGAAATGCTGAGAAACCTCGTTTACAGGCCTTTCCTATGCAACCAAGAACACAAAGAAAGTTTTGGCTGTTTGCTTTCACAGAGAGGCTCTACTCTGAGCTATGTGTCCTTTTTGCCCCTTACTAGGACTGGAGTCCTAAAAAAATGATTAAGTCATTAATCTAAATACTACACTCAATTACTTAACTGCAAAAATATAACATACCCCAACGATATCTGCTTAGATGGTTTAGTGGAAGAATGCCAGCCCAGCAGTGTAGTGGCTTCTTCTGTAGGACCAGGCAGAAGTTCAGCTATAAGTTGGAGGTCACAGGCTGCCAAAATCTGGGTGTGTTGGCACTTCCACCATGATGGGTGCCTAAGTCTAGTCTCTGGCTACTGTAGGAAATCCTCTATCTTCTATACGTGGCACAGGGAAAGCAGGTCCAGGCTGACTGATCAAGTTCCCCCAGTGGGAAGGGACAGGAGCACAAATTAAATCAAGCTGTACCCCCTTGGTGCAAATTCCCAGCAGGAACCTGCCTGGTACTCCCCTCTCCCCCAGCACGGGCTTCAAGGGTCTCTGCTGACAGCAAGATGGAGCAAGATAGGGGCTCCCATCAGGCTCTGGGGACCAGAACACAATCCTGTTTGATTAAAAGAAATTTCTGGTAATGAATTAAACAGGCCCAAGGAAAAAAGGACATGGTGGCCATATATTCTGCCAGCGCCCGGCACCCAGGGAGGAGGGGTGAGAAACGGAGACATAAATAAAAGACTACTCACTGGGGCTCTTCTCCTCGGCAAGGTCACAGGCACAGAGCAGGTCACAATCGATTGAGATGGGCTTCTGCTTAATCCAAAACTTAGTGCTGGCTTTCTGATTTGTAACAGGGTCTATCTCTACTTTGTCTCCAGAGATACCTGTAAGGCCAAAAGGAGGGGACAAAAAAGAAGCTATGAGATGCCGGTGACTTCAGTGCAGTGATTTGACCTGCTGGATAAATCAGACAGTGGGTGAGCATGGGCTCTGAGGGCTTTAGGGAACACGGGACTCTTCCAACAGGCAGAGCTTCTAAACAGCATCTGAGACTCTCACAGTGGCTGAGCAAGCAAGGTGTGTGGTAGGGGGTGACCACCCAAAGCTATCTGGAAGCCCATAGGGGATGTGCCTTCTCTGATATAGCAGAGATACAATACACAATTTCCCCACATACTGCTAAAAGCATTATGTCTATATTGTAACAACATATACTGGAACAGAAGGCTGGCCATTTAAAGCTAATTCTGATTTTTTATTTTTAAATAAAGACCCTAAGTAGCAGATTATGCTACCAATATAGAGTTTCTTACATTGAAAATAGAGGGAGGAACAGAATTTCCCTCTGTGACACTAAATAATTTCCCAAGCAATATTTAAGGGAAGCCATAGGAAGATCAAAGGGTCTTTCCACAAAATCTTTGAAGTTCGAATCCTGCAGCCTGGCTTTCAGGTGGGGGAGGTCCTTGCCTCTCTGCCAGACAACGACCAGGAACAAATGTGGTGGAGGGTGTAGGAGGTGACTGTACTGAGGACGACACACGCCAAAGGTGCCTTCTGGGTATTTAAGAGACGACATGCTCTGTCTGACACACCAAATCTAGTCTACAAGTCCTCTTCTGCTGAAGAGAAAAAACTGCTCATGAAGTGAGACATAAACCTTTAATATGTGTTCTGCAGTGAGCCCCATAGGAGCCTTAAACGTAATTAATTTTTAAGTCAGGGTCTAAGTGGAAAAAATAAAAAAGAAGTCAAGATTTTAAAAACCCTGAAATAATCAATTATATATACTGTGATAGAGAACAAGCAGGACTTGGGACATAAGATTAGTAACTCAAAGAGGATAAAACTCACCCAAGCTCTGCTCAATTAATACCCCGACCTCAACCAAAGTGCACACACACACACACACACACACACACACAAAACCACTACAGTCTGACAGCAAATTTAAATGTAAAAAAATAATAAAAACAAATATCGTCTCCATGACTGGGTTTTGTCCTCCATGCTCTGGATTACTTTATGAGCAGATTCATTCCACAACCAGTCAGACAAAAGGAGAAGGCTGTGTATATAGAGAGAGCAGGGGACACAACACAGGGATGGTCTCGAACCCCGCTTCTTTGGTAGAGCCCAGTAATCAGCAAATTTGTTTGTTTGTTTATTTTTATTAACCAAATGCTGGGGTTACACTGGATGTGTTTCAGTTAGGCATGATGTCTACAGCCTACTCTGGGTCTCAGCCTACTGAGAGGCTGTCAGGAGACCAGTCTGATTATGTTTCACTTAAAACAGACTATGACTATGTACTTGCCTCCAATTTGCTCATTGTTAAGGATCTGGACATCTCTATTGTTCCCCGAAAGGGGACGAGTACTTAAGTCATGGTAGTGGTGGAAGGTGTTCATGTATGCTCACGCTGTGGTGATGGGCTGTTTATGTGTGTATATGCTGCAGTAACGGGGTGAGTGTTCACAGGCATGCACGCTGTGGTGATGGGCTAAGTGTTCATGCACGCGCATGCCGTGGTGATGGGGAGTGTGTTCACGGTGAGCAGGGCTTCCCTCCTTATCTGCTTCTTATTCTGACATTTATAACAGTCAAAACAGACAGAGCAAAATAAATGTGCATATCTCTTATGTGGAAATAAACCCTGCCCCACATTCCTCTTTCAGAAAGGAAGAAAGAAAAAAAATCATCACCAGACAGAGATGGTTAAAATTTTGTTCGAAGGCCATGCAACTCCTGAAGCTGCAGCCAGTCAATACTGTTAATGTACCTTGTTAATTTGATAGGATTTGTCAGGTAACTCCACTGGAAAATTATATAAAACTGTTCCAGATGAAAAGATGATAGTGACATGAATTAAAGTGATAGAACAATAGTGGGATATAAACCAGAAACGACACCCAAAGTGGCTGTTGATTTATTGCCACACTGAGTTTGGTTCTGGGCTCCCATGTATATTAGTGCTACAAATCTGGGTCCATTTAGCAGAGGGATGCTCATACATACATCACCAGCTCCTGCTCTAAGCCAAGGTCAGTCCCCATTGCATCAATCTTTTCAGCAGAGCTTACTTCACAAAGCAGGACTCCTGAAACCATCGCAGACTAACAGACTGCTCTCCTCTTTCATCTTTCTTTTATCATGTAAAGCGCACTTTTAACTTCCATTATTTTTATCTGCAAATTGTTAGCGCATAGTTCATCCATTACCTGCTGTATCTGTGCATCAGTTGCCTACACTCTACTTGGCCACAGAACCCTTCCCCAATGACACCCTTTCCTGGGGTTTCTGCCACTGATGCTGTTTACAGAAGGGAACCCCAAGACTGAAGTTAGGGGATGGAGATGTGGGAGATGAATGTAAAAGGCTCAAGATGGGCAGGCAGGTGGAACATCATTTAAACAATTGGTGTGCTCCACAAAACCAGCATACACATGAGATTTTCTTCCCGAATCAAATCACATTTTCCCACTGACTCGGTTCCAGTGCTACTCTATCTTCATTTTGGATTGATCTGTAATTGGCAGGAGCTCCCGACACTTCAGACACTTCAGTTTTAAGTTTCCCTGCCCTGCAGGCTTTCAGTCAGGCAGTTAATGATCTGTAAAACTCTCGCCTGCCTCCAGGAGTCACTATTTAAAGGAACCTGTAGAAGATGAGAAAAATCCTTTGTGTGTTAAACAATCTCAGTACGAGGGAGGGACGAGTGTGAGTGTCTGCCTCTTAAAGCTGAGTTGGGCCCCAACAGGCCTTGTTGTTCCTACTGGACAAGCGAAGGAAGGCTAGGAGAGTCTGAGGCCGTCTGTGGGCACTACCCTTGCTGAGCACACTGGACAGAGCCTGGAGACCTCTGGGAGCCTAAGCACTTTATACACATTCATTCATTCGTTCATTCATTCATTCATTCTGGAAAGGTGGATGCTTGCGGGAGGGATGCTGGCTAGCAAGCACTCTACGCTATGGGTAAAGCCGCTAGAGCTCGGGTGCAGTGTGTAACTGCCCAGGAGGTCAGTCAGTGCAACTGCACCCATTAGCCACTGAGCCTTTCAAGTGTGCAAAGAAGGTGGGGCCAGAGCAGCAGGGCTTTCCTGTGATTACAGAGCACAGACACTGTAGCTGCCATGTTCCCTGTGCTTCGACATCCTTGGCCCGGCCCTTTGGCAAAGGTGTGACCTTGGCAGGCACACTCACTGCCTCCCAGCAGTTCCAGCTCCCGGAATCATGTGGCACAGTGTCCTCAGGCCCAGCAGGCATGGCTCTGTGACACTCATCATTTAGTAAGTGTCCACAGCCTGTTCATGCAGCGAGCGCTGAGTGCCCACTAGGTGCCATAGGTTGGAGAGCCTCTCTCTGTGTGCTCTCTAGCAGACTCATGAAACAGAGACACAGGATAGCTATGAAACCTGTCCAAGATCGCACAACTCACATGTGGCCTGGGACCTGGAACTAGGAGCTCTGGTGCGAGACCCCACTCTCTCAGCACTGTAAGGGCCAGCAGGCTTTGATACAACATGTCTACTGAGGTATTTTGGGGTATTTTGATGCATTTAGAGAGCTTGGAAGTAAGAAAGCTGTTCTTCCAATCCAGAACTGCCTGGTTCCTAGATGGCCCTCATGGCTGCTCAGACTTGAGTCAAGAAAACACAAAGGAAACTGTCCAAGTGGTCCTACAACCCCTCCCTCTACTCTCCCAGGGTATAAGAAAATGGTCAGATGTCAAACATGCCACACCCACATCTGCCAAGCCAGCATACCCAATCGTTGGCTTTCTGTCTTCTGTACTTGCTCTTAATGGGTAAAGTTTTTGTGTGACATCTCTGGAAAATGCAGAGGGACTCCTTACGGTGTCATTTTTAACACAGTGTTGCAAGCAAGTCAAATTATAAACATACAAAGAAAGAAGGGAAGTGGACCTTAACTAAATATACATTTCTTCAAACTAAATGGTTACACTGAGGCATTAGCATGCCTATAATGAAATAGAGCACAACCCAAGAAAGTCAAGCCAGAAGAAAAGTTTGATTTAAAAAAAAATTTATGTCACAATACCAAATGAAATAGGAAAGAAAAATATTTACATAGGGGTTGGCAATGGAGCTCAGCAGAACACTTGCCTGACGTGGACAAGGCCTGGATTTCATCTCCAGAACGAGAGGCAGGGAAGGTGGTCTGGGAAGGCTTTCCAAAGGCTCCATTCTAAATGCACAGTCGGCTTTGGTTAGCAGGATGCACGACCCAACACTATGTATTGTTTTTAGCTTAGAATTTGATTTTACATGTTTGGGCATTTTGCCAGCATGGATGTCTGTGTACCTGCAGACATGTGCTGCCTTGTGTTTGCAGAGGCCAGAGGGGGCCCTGGATCTCCTGGAAATGGAGTTATGGGCAGTCGATAGCAGCTGTGTGGATGCTGGGAATCGAATGTGTGTCCTCTGGAAGAGCGGCAAGTGGTTTTAACTCTGAGCCATCTTTTCAGTTCCCAACAGTATTTTTATTTACTTATTTATTTATATTTTGTGCTGCTGTGGGCAGAACTTGGGCCTCAGGCATGTCAGCTGGGAAAGCACTTTTACCACTGAGCTATGTCCCTGTTCTAAAAACTTAGTTACCTTTTCCTACCGTTTCCATTTCAGAGTTTGGTTTCCTTCCCCACCTGTAGTGTAGGCAAGGATGACCTCACTGGCCTCTGCAATGGTGGCTGTGGAAAGTGACCATAAATACAAGCACACTTCCATCTAGAAGCTCTCATGCACCCAAGGGGCTGAGAGGCAGACAAGGGCTCCTCTGAAAGCCCTGCCACTGTCACAAAGGTGCCCAGAGCTTCCCAGTCTCAACCCCTGCAGGTAAGGAGGAAGAGCACAGGGCTGGCCTG